ACTGTCCTCTACTCTGTCCAAGCTCCACCGTGGCGCCATCCTCCTCCACTCTGTGCTCGAACGATCTTCCTCCACTCTGTCCTCGCTTCATCCTCCACTCTGTCCCCGCTCCACCCTCATCCACTCTCTCCTCGCTCCATTCTTCTCCACTCTGTCCTCACTCCATACTCCTCCACTCTGTATATGCTCTAACCTCCTCCACTCTGTCCTCGCTCCATATTCTTCCACTCTGTCCTCACTCCATACTCCTCCACTTTGTCATTGGTCCACCCTCATCCACTCTGTTCTAGTTCCATTCTCCTCAACACTGTTCTCGTTCCATTCTCCTCTACTCTGTGCCCGCTCCATCCTCCTCCCCTCTGTGCTCGCTTCATCCTTCTGCACTCTGTCCTCACTCCACCCTCATCCACTCTCTCCTCGCTCCATTCTTCTCCACTCTGTCCTCGCTCCATCCTCCTACACGCTGTCCTTGCTTCATCCTACAATTTGTCCACGCTCCATGCTCCTCCACTCTGTGCTCACTCCATCCTCCACGACGTCCGCGCTCCATGCACCTCAACTCAGACCTTCCTCCATCCTCCACTCTGTCATCACTCCATATTCCTCCACTCTGTCCTCACTCCATACTCCTCCACTTTGTCCTCGCTCCACCCTCATCCACTCTGTTCTCGTTCCATTCTCCTCCACTCTGTGCTCGATCCATCCTCCTCCAATCTGGCCTCGTTTCATCCTCCACCACTTTGACTTTGCTCCATCTTCCTCCACTCTGTCATAACTCCATACTCCTCCACTTTGCCCTCGATCCAGCCTGCTCCATTCTGTCCTGGCTCAACCCTCCTCGACTCTGTCATCACTCCATACTCCTCTACTTTTTCCTGGCTCCATCCTCCATCATTCAGTCCTTGCTCCCCGCTGCTCCATTCTCTCTTCACTCCATTCTTCTCTACTCTGTCTTTGCTCCATTGTCCTCTACTCTGTCCAAGCTCCATCCTTGCTCCATCCTCCTACACTCTCTCCTTGCTCCATCCTCCTCCACTCTCTCCAAGCTTCATCTTCCTCCACTCTGTCCTCGCTCTACCCGCCTCCACTCTGTCCTCGCTCAATCCTTCACTCTGTCATCACTCCATTTTCCTCCACTCTGTGCTCACTCCATACTTCTCCACTTTGTCCTCGCTCCACCCTCATCCACTCTGTTCTCGTTCCATTCTCCTCCACTCTGTGCTCGCTCCATCCTCCTCCAATCTGGCCTCGTTTCATCCTCCTCCACTTTGACTTCGCTCCATCTTCCTCCACTCTGTCATTACTCCATACTCCTCCACTCTGTCCTCGCTTCATCCTCCACTCTGTTCTCGCTCCATCCTCCTCCAATCTGTCCTCATTCCATCCTCCTCCACTCAGTCCTTGCTACACCCTGCTCCACTCTCTCTCTTTGCTCCATCCTCCTCCACTCTGTCATCACTGCTTATTCCTCCAATCTGTCCTCACTCCATACTCCACTTTGTCCTCGCCTCATCCTCCACTCTGTCCTCGCTACATAATCCTCCACTCTGTGCTCACTCGATCCTTCACGACGTCCGCGCTTCATCCTCCTCAACTTAGACCTTCCTCCATCGTCCCTCGCTCCATCCTTGTCCACTCTGTGCTCGCTCCATCCTTGTCCACTCTGTGCTTGCTCCATCCTCCTCCACTCTGTCCTCGCTCCACCCTCATCCACTCTCTCTTTGCTTCATTCTTCTCCACTCTGTCCTCGATCCATCATCATCCACTTTGTCATCGCCCCATCCTCCATTCTGTCCTTGTTTCATCCTCCTCCACTCTGTCCTCGCTTCATCCTCCACTTTGTCCTCGCTCCATCCTCCAGTCTGTCCTTGCTCTATCCTCCAATATGCCCACGCTCCATTTTCCTCAACTCAGACCTTCATCCTCCTCCACTCTGTCCTCGTTTCATCCTCCTCCTCTCTGTCCTAGTTCCATCCAATTGCACTCTAACCATGCTCCATCCTCCTCCACTCTGTTCTCGCTCCATCCTCAACTCTGTCCTCGCTCCATCCCCCATTCTGTCCTTGCTCCATCCTACTCGACTATCCTTGCTCTACTCTCCTTCACTCTCTCCTTGTTCCATCCTCCATTTTGTCTTCGCTCTATCTTCCTCCACTTTGACTTCACTTCACGCTCCTCTACTCTGTCCTCGGTCAATACTCCTCCCCTCTGTCCTCGTGCCATCCTCCACTATGTCTTCGCTCTATCCTCCTCCACTCTGTCCTTGTTCCATCCTCCTCCACTCACTCCACCTTCCTCCACTCTGTCCTTGCTACATCTTCCACTCTGTCCTCGCTCCATCCTCCTCCACTCGCTCCATCCTCCTCCACTCGCTCCATCTTCCTCCACTCTGTCCTTGCTCTACCCTCCTCCACTTTGTCCTAGCTCAATCCTCCACTCTGTCATCAATCCATACTCATCCACTCTGTCCTCGTTCCATTGTCCTCTCCTCTGTCCAAGCTCCATCGTTTCTCCATCGTTGCTCCATCCTCCTGCACTCTCTCCAAGCTCCATTCTCCTCCACTCTGTCCTCGCTCTACCCTCTTCCACTCTGTCCTCGTTCCATTGTCCTCTACTCTGTCCAAGCGCCATCGTTGCTCCATCATCCTCCACTCTCTCCAAGCTCCATGTTCCTCCACTCTGAACTCTCTCTACCCTCCTCCACTCTGCCCTCGCTCAATCCTCCACTCTGTCATCACTCCATTATCATCCACTCTGTCCTCGCTCCATCCTCCTCCAATCTGTCCTTGCTCCATCCTCCAATATGTCCACGCTCCATCCTCCTCAATTCAGACCTTTATTCCTCCTCCACTCTGTCCTGGCTCTATCCTCAACTCAGTCCTCGCTCCACCCTCATCCACTCTGTTCTCGTTCCACTCTCCTCCACTCTGTTCTCGCTCAATCCTCCTCCACTCTGTCCTTGCTCTATCCTTCTCCACTCTGTCCTCGTTTCATCCTCCTCTCTGTCCTCACTCCACCCTAATCCACTCTGACCACGCTCCATCCTCCTCCACTCTATCCTCATTCCATCATCCACTCCATCCTCACTCCGGCTGCAGTTAATGTGGAATACAACTGGCACCAACTGATAATTATCATACCATGTAATTGCTTTATTCAGGAAACATTCACCAAGTCTCAAAACTGCATTGCAGTGTTTGGGCACTTTTCATTCCATTATTTTTTCTTGGCTTATCTGGAGAAAACTCAGCCATTGTGCTGTATAAGGGGATAACATGCAAGATCGTTATCATTATCACCAACAGCCATGACCTATCTGCTGCTGGATGAAGGCCCATTCGTTCTGATAGCATGTCCCGTCGTCTCACGATGCACCGATCCATCTCGCTCCTGCGCAGACAAGCGATGATTTCCTCACTGCATTTCCACAATAGACATCAACTGTTGCACTTTTTTCTTCCAGGACTGTCCCGGCAGGACCTATCCACTGATTCTTTGCACAGATTGAATTACTTTTTGGTGATCGGGAATGCAAATGTTTTTGCGAGTTAATAGCACAGATGCTATGGCAACGATCACAAGTGCAAGAGTTGTTATAAGGATAATAATGGCTTACTTACCCAGGAAAGTACATCAGTCCAATTACTCTTTTTAAGGAAGGTCTTACATAAAGTTTGTTTAAATTTTAAGATGTTTTTGAGTCGATGTATAATGTAGCACTCAGAGACGCTGTCTTGCTTAATTAATATATATTTATTATATATTACAGTCCACCTGACTCGATGACATGTTATCAGGTGGATGCAGGTTGACTATATACAACTGGGTGACTCTATGTATCTGCTACACGACGTTCACGATATTGCTGACTGACTATATAGGAGCCGTCACTGTAGTAGCCATGGCGAAGATACATAACTTCTTTCCTAGCCTTACAAGTTGATGAGGACAATCCACCGTCATAACAGCGACGACGGTCCAGACTCCAAATCCCCACAGCAGCCCCGAGCCCCACTCTGCGCTGCCTTTTATTTCCCCTCGGCTCTGCCACGCCCCTTTTCCCGAACTCTTTTCTTTGCCTCACGAAAACACCCCGGGGGTTCCATCTCTACCCCCGTGTTGACTCCTCACCCAGTTACCTCACTTGACCCTGCCTGTCCTCATCGCTGCAATCATTATTTATAGCCACTAGGTCCCGTACTGTCCTTACAGATGTATTAGTTGTATATACACGTGAGAGGAAACTGAGGCGGCTGGAGAAAACCCACAAACGTGATGGTGCAAAACTCTATCTTCGTACAGATGGAAACAAATGGAGATTAGTCCACTTCCTGCCCTAGCGCCTTCTCCTGGCAAGCCGGTGTATGGCTTCTCCTTAACGTCCACAGGAAGGGAGTTTACACAACATGTGTGCTGTGATCCACCAACCCTCGCTGCTTCCACAGTGCTCGATTACAGGCAGCCATGTGCATAGCCACTACCGCCCAGCTTACTATTGTAGGTAACCAATTGGCTTGGAGTGGCTGCTATTATAGACCACTGAGCCTTTGTAGATTGTGTGAAATGTTGAGTTGAGAGGACTTTTGAAAATCATGGTTGTCCCTGCACACATTTGCTTCATTGAGGTGTTTGCAGCATTGAGGTCGCACTGCTCTGCCAGATATCCGAACGGATATTTCATCGTGTTGCTGGTAGAACAGGCAAGATAACACTCTGCGGGACAGCGGTCGAAAAATTTACAAAAATACTTTTTAGCGTGTACGTTTTTAACAGCCATTTAAAATCCAATTGCGGTTTTCCGGGTTGGGCTGTGCATTAGACAACTCTTCTCCCAAGAAGGCATCTTCAGATGTTGAAGATGCCCGCAGTAGTACGTGGCAAAAGCTCGAGAGAAAAAATGCCCGAAAATCGGGCCAACCCGGGAAACCACGCGTTCAATGAGCAAAACCCAGGGACGACTTCTAACGGTCCGTTGGGCTGATCCGCGCCGTTCTGCACAGGGCCGCCCACCTGTCGTGACGGTTCGGCGTGCGAGGCCGGTAAGCGGTGCGTGAGGGACCCGCACACCGGCGCTGCCGCACGCTGCCTGCAGTGCAACGCGATCTGCCGCGCGTCCGAGCGCCGTACCCCTGTGTGTGGCTCCGACAACACCACGTACCAGGACCGGTGCGCGCTGCGTGCTGCCGCCTGCTCCGACGGCCTCTTCATCGAGGTGAAGCACTTGGGACGCTGCCGCTACGCCCCAGGTACTGCCCCCCCCCTGCCATCACAGCAGTGGATTTCTGTATCTATGTGTGCGAAGCTCTAAGTGTTTGGGCGCCGCGGTGGCGAGATTTTAACTCCCTCGCTTGGTGCACAGGAGGTCCTGGGTTCGATCCCGACCCTGACGCCTGCTATATATTTGGAGTTTGCATGTCTCTCTCACCGTGGTCGTGTGGATTGTTTCTGGATCTTCCGGTTTTTCCCTCCACATTTAGAATCAACATGCATCTAGAGTATTTGGCTTCTATAAATTTCCACGTGATAAGCCACTTTGTTGAGCTATCATTTGTGGCCCGGCAAAATACTAAATAGTTTAATCGTTACCTGCTCATGCACCACTTGCCAAATGCTCGTTAATGCAATTGGCTAAACATGATTTCTGCAGTGGTGGCCAGGAGATGGCAGCAGAGCGATTGATTACCAAATCTATCTATGCGGAGTTATATGTGTTTCCTGGTCAAATAAATGGGGGTGGTGGCGGAGGGTTGTGTTCTCTGGTTTTTTCCAGCACATGAAACCAAACACTTGCAAACGGAATTCGCCAGACATCCCAATATAGTAGGACCCCATTGAGAGAAAGTGAGTGTTGAGGCTTTGGTTGAGGCTTTTCCACTTAAAGAGCATTATTATGATAAACGCTTAATACGAATGGCTCTGGGTTTAACCGAGTTTGTTTATATGAATTCCCGCCAGGAGCCGAAAGCTCAATGGGAGGCATGAAAGTGATTTGCACGCGGCCACAATTCAGCGAATTCTCACACTACGTCGTTAAAATTAGATTCCGGATCGGACCGTGCTCTCGTAGGCTACCTATGTTTACGCGTAAACCAAAGCTGTGCTTGACTCTGCTGAGATGCGAGTAGGTGGTGGTAATGATAACAAAGGTAATTGATCCCAGCGTAACATTTTTAATGTTGATTGAAAATGTTTAATCTGGATTTCTTAAGAACTACTTTTTGTGTTTAGTTTGTTGTCCTTTCCCCGCACCCCCGATTAGCATGGTTGGCTACGTATGGTGCGAAAGAAATTCAACACACACGCATACGCACATACCTCGAGACGGTGTTTCCAAAGATTGCTTTGCATTCTCCATCTGTTCCAAGCTCTCTATGCCTGTGGCCACGCACGCTACGCCCGTGACACACACCCCGCACCTGGTACACACATTAAACGACACGCTTGTGACGTAGCACCTGTGTTCGTGGGGAGCGGCTGTGCAACGAGCGATGAGCGCGCTGCTGCGCTATGAACCCCGCTCACCGACACCGATGACGATAATCTGAACCAGTCCTGGGCATCCCCTAGGTCGACTCAGCCTCAAATGAGTTCCAGGTGCGGTGTGTAAACATCGCCACTGGGGAGACAAAGGCAGTCGTGTGTGGTGTTCGCCACCCACCTCCTCGTGTGCCTTTCCAGCCTTCATAGGTGCTACTTGCTAACAGCACTTTCCCCAACTCTGTTAAAGGCAATATGGGGGAACTTTGTCTTTGTGTTCTGAGAGATGTACACGCATTACCTGTGCATGATAACGATGCGATATATGAATCTCAAGACGTCAGGAGAGTCCTCTTACTTGTATATTGTGACCAATCACTTTATTTTTCATGCCAAATGGTTTGAGTACTGCAACAGATTATTGAATCCATCTGTGGCAGAGCTCACTGTGTTATCCCCCGCGTGCGTATGTGGAATTTCGCCAAACACCCCAATGTAGCTTGACCCTGCTGGAAAAAAAAATGTTGAGACTCAATGAGGGCCTTCCTGGGCTAACAATAATGATACTACTACTACACAACTATTAATCAATCCCATTCAAGGTGAAGCCCACTCCACACTGTGCGTGTCATAGTAGTAATGTGAACGTACTTCGTCATAGTGGTCATTGTGGATGAGTGAAGGGGATTCATGGATAATCTGTGAAAAAGAGCTGAATAGCTCACCGGATTTCTCTTCCAAGATGTCTAGCCAGTGTGGAATAGTTGGGCAATAAAAAAACCCCCACCCTCTAGAGGAGTTGTCTTGAGCTCCCTCTCGTCCAGTGGAGGCCCCTTCTGTCAGTATTGACGTGAACAAGACATTGCAGGGCTGCACCTTTGCTTTTAATTCACCTCTTTATTATTATCATAATTGTTGTAATAAGAACGATGAGAGCAGTCGCGCCATGGAGTGCAGAGCGCTGCTCACCTCGTCTCCACCCGTCATCCTCTCTTCCCCGGCAGCGGAGGAGGGAGAAGCTGTCGACGCAGAGGGCATGGATGGCAATGCTTTTCCCGGCTCGGCCATGATGAACTACCGGTAGCTTCCCGGCGGCCCCCCCCCCCACCCACAACCCTCCGGTCACTGCTATTGCATGTTTCACGTCGTGTGTATGTGTGCGCGCTCGTGTGGAGTTTTTATTTTTATTTATACGAGTATTTATGGGGGCCGTTGTGGGCGAGGGTAGTGAGGGTCGGGGAGACGACAGAAGGGACGCGGCGCTCCTACGACCACGCCGCTTCACATGGGCAAGGCCGTGGCACATCTGTCTGGGCGAAGCGAGACGAAGGACAACCGCCCACCCGCCCCGCCGGTCCCCCACCATCGCAGAAATCGCGAAAGAGCTACAAGGCGACAGGCATCGCCTCTCATTGGAACCCGTGCAGTGTTTTATTTATTTAGCCAGGCGAGAACCCCGTTATCTCTTTGACGAGGGAGACCCGGGGCATGCGTAACTATACGTAGCGAGAGAGATAAAAAAAAACATACAAAGGAGCCACAACATTTGCATACAGTATGTCCTTTTTTGAAGTGGCCCGAGACGCTGTTTTATTTTTACCGGACTCGTAATGCACCATTGCCCTTGCTTGCAAATAATTTCACGGATACTTTCGTTTACCAATGCTCTGATGCTTCAACGGAATTGACACAGGGGACTGCTTTAGACAATTCGCAGAAGAATCCAGACTCGCCCCAGCGGGCACTCAAAACACACGGCGTGTCAACAGCATCAGAATATGCATTTATCCTGAAGGAATCCGATGAGCCATGAATCTCTTTTTCACACAAGATGTCCAATAAGGGGTGGGTCAGCAAGTTACAACAACAAATACAAAAATAACGATAGGAGTGCGAAGTAGAGAAAAGGTTTAACACATAGAAGGGGGCGTTCACGATGATAGTATCCATAATAGAGGTTTTTGGGTTAGATCGCGTAAATATAAATGTTCTGGTGTGTTGTATGAGTAACGAATTGGCATGTTTTGTTTACGTGACAAATCTTACTATTTGGATGTGTCGGGTGGTGGCGGGTTTAATGACGCATTTATATTTACGAGATCTAACCCAACACCTATATTATAGAGAAAATGTAAGCAAGTAACTCTAAATAAATAAATTAACGAAAACTATGGGGCTGTCGCAGTGTAAGGGTCAGCTCAATAGACTTGCATTCCAGAGGCATGAGTTCAATTCCATCTGCCGCCGTGGCAGCTGCAACGATTGGGCATGTTTCTAGAATCCCTACCCTACCCCCGCCCACCCCTTCTCCACCGCCTCTGTCCACTCAGCAGTAAAAATGGGTGACACTAGCCAGTTGATCGGCAGGTCGCACGTGATGCGGCGCAGTGTGGGTAATCGCCCACCTTTTCCAACACGTTTGGTCAATGTGGAAGAGTGGAACAGATGTATATGTATGTCTGTTGAACTTCTTTCGCACCGTACGTAGCCAACCGTTCAAATCGGAGGTGTCGGGGCAGGACAACAAACGAAACACAAAGCAGTTCGAAAGAAATTAGTTTTCAATCTCGATTTAAAAGTGGCATGGCTCCAATGGCTTCCTAATATCGGAAAAAAGAGCATTCCGGACGACCCCAGAGGCACATGGAAGTGCAGTGCGATGCAGTGACCATTTTTATTCGATGGTTAGCCAAAACAAATACCCCCTAAAGCTTGTTTCTAGCAGAGGCCTTTCTGCCAGCAGTGGTATCGGCAGAAAATTTCTGGGCCGCACCTTTACCTTTGACAACACATAGCGGCTGTTTGTGCTCTGTAACATATATTTTTTGCATTTTAGTATTTCAATATTTCTCCACATTAAGCATGCGTTAAGTAACACATGTATGTACATTGAACAACTTTCGCACCGTACGTAACCAACCATGTGATATTAATTTTAAGGGGAGGTTGTATACTTCATGGTGGGTGGGCTTTTTGAATTTCAATGTCATTTTGTCCTTGAGTCCTCGTCTATCATTCCAGCAGTTGACGGCGCGTGGCGCGTATGGGCACGGTCCGCCTCGCGCGAGCCTTTGACGCCACATTTGTGACCGCTCTGTTAAGCCTGACTCAGGGTGGTGGGGATTCGTCATCAGTGGCCGTGGACTGCAGACCCGGGAGGTTTCACTTTGGCTAATGACTCATTGTCATTGGCGTCGTCAGGAGAAGGTCGTGGGGCGTTGAGAATTGTGGATAAACTACCATCCCCTCTCCCAAATGTTCGGTGAAGATAATGATTATGGATATGATGATGATTTTGACGATGATAACTATGATGACAACAATGATGACGATGATGATGCTTTTGACAATGATGACGATGATGGTGATGATAACAATGATGATTATAATGACACAAAATATGACATTCGCACTGCGAGTACAGTGTATAATTACTGTTATATGTAATTACAATTCACTTTTTGTTTCACTTTAGAATACATATATATTGTTCAAATGTTTCACCCGTTGTCACGTGTTTAGGCATTCCACATCTGAAATGACACGAGATGTCGGTGATCGTGGTAATAACAGTGAACTTATGTTGGTTGTCACTGTGGTGGTGGGGGTAATAGTGATCGTAAGGAGCAGTGGCACAGCAGTTACCGTGCTGTGCTATGAATCTGGTGAACCGAGAAAGATTCACACTCATGGCCAGCACCAGTGATGATTATCTGAACCGGTCCTGGGCCTCCCCTAGATCGACTTAGCCTCAAATGAGTATGTGGTGCGGTGTGTAAACATCGCGACTCGGGAGACAAATGTGGCCGGGCATGGTGCTGGCCACCCATCCTCCCGTGTGCTGTTCCGGCCTTCATATGTGCTCGCTAACAGCACTTGCCACTAAAGTTTGTTAAGGCAATATGGGGATCTTTGTCTTCTATGGTTTGGATGATGGTGATGAATTAAGTTCCATGGTTCATGACCTTTCACGTCCAACACTTTTCCTCCCATTACTATACAGAATTACATATCGAGCAAGTTGTGATCTGTGAAAAAGAGTTGTGAGTTCAAATCCTCTTTAGGGGGGTGTCGACTCAGCCCATCATCCGTCTGGGGTCAATAAAGTGAGTACCACTGGTGGGGAAGTCAACAGTGGTTGTTCTGTAGGTGGAATTTTCCCCGCCGTATGAACGTAGAATTGCCACCACTGGCTCTACAGGGCTGTAAACAGGAGATGAGCACCCAATGCCTCAGTGCTAATATGAGCAGTGGCAGCTCACTCTGACCTGTCTGAATGCACATCAGAGGTGAACGGTTTGGGCCGCCGTGAGTGAGGGACAGCGGTGGTTGGGCAACTGTGGTAAAATAAGCGCCACTGTCATTGCCAGCCATGGCACTCGCCAGGGCAGAAGCCTTTGGAGGTTCTGGGGATGGCCCTGCACAACCAGATGTCCCTTTGGCACCACCTCTCCTCCTTAGCTGTACGATCTCATACCCCCTCCTCCTCACCACTTCCCATCCAAGAGAACCTTGGACCTGGTACCCAAAACGATGCCCACTGTAAACACCAGGATGATGGTGGCAGGGAATGGGGCTGGTAAAGACGATGGTGAGGGTGGTAACGTACATTTATTATTTTAAAAAATCATTATTGTCCAATAAAATTATCGTATGAATATTCAAAGACGATCAAGAAAGTATCTTGTAATTGCTCGCTACGGTGCGGCTCTGAATAATGTAATTGTGAGGTATATAGAAAAGATCGCATTGTGAGTGCGATATTAAAATCAATAAATCTCACCTGTATCTGACCTCTAGCTTGCATTAATCTCCAGTATACAGTATATATGTGCATGTATTGTATATTTTGTAACTTTGTAAGTAAAATAAAGTATTTGTGCTTTTTTTCCTGGATGGAGACATTATTTTATTTTACTTGCGTGTTCATGCTGGTGGGATCGAATCAAACGTGGCCACTAAAAAGTTATACCGCGTACGGCTAAATCGCTTTGCTGCACTGCATCATTATTATTACTACAGCCAAAACAAGCACACGCATGTCAGAGCTAAATCAGCCGAGGCCTCACATCAGCACAAAACGATTTCCAAGACAAACAAAGCAGTGGAGCGTCAGAGCTGGTGACTGATAATTAAGTGGTTCTGCCATCCTCTGTGAACCTTGGGTAATTGGCAGACGGGGCCAGTGGTGGGAGGGGGGAGAGGGGGCTGCGGGGTGTGCGCAGGAGGAGCGGAGCAAACGGGTTCACGCGGACGGGAAGCACACGGTGCCACGTGCTCCTTCGCATAAGCGCGGCTGTATCCAGGGATTAGCGAGCACGGGGAGAGGAGAAGGAGGGCGGTGAGAGGTGGCGATGAAGAGCGGGTGACAGGGGACCTTTGCTTAATCTGGAACAGCGCATTTCACGTTTAATTCTGGAGTGAACTTTCAGAAATTCACCTGGTCTTGTCATTGACCCTGTGGGGCACCAACTGGAGTTTCACAACAACACGATGCGGGGTATAGAATGGGTCTGAATGTGACCGGGGTAGATCAAAATATTTAATTCTCAGAGATGGATATTTTTTTGCCAAATGAAGTTAAAAACCGCATTTAACGTGATTTGTTTTGAGTGTGTGTGTAGTCACCAGTGATCAGTCTGTCAAGTCACTTCATTTCAGAACTCAGTTTAATCGTGAGCGGATGAGACCCTGAATTAAAACCCTGAATTCCCAGCGGGGCCAGCTCAGGCATCTCTGACCCCTGAACCACCCAGCCACCTCCAGACAAACTCTTAAAATAAAACCCTAGCGTCGCCGTTGAACTCGCACCAAAACGTCCACTCGCACTTAACAGCGGATGATTAAAAATTAAAATGATGTAGCTTTTGGCACAACAACCTGCCCGTGTGGAATGCTCTCGCTTGACTACAATAACACATAAATCGGGCGTGGACCCACCACGCAGTGACAACTTAAATACCGTGAGCAATGGTAGCGCTATTTATATTGGGGGTTCCACTCAGGCCCGCTACACACTTTCCCATTTTAGTCAAATGGAAAATTCCGTGTCAGCTGCGGGACCGTAACAAAAAAACTATGGTCGTTTCCAAGTTCCACAGATCTGGAAATGTCCTACCTGGTACGAGTTGGGGAGTTTTGCGGGACGCACGATCACAGGACGCACAATCGCATCCAGCGAATTCTGGGTAATCCCGCTTTACTTGCCGAAGTGCAACGCAAACACGAAGCCCAATTACCCATGCATGTTGCACAACGCTTTTGTCAATCCACTGCTGGACGAGGGCCTCCCGACGCCATGTGGATTGTCGCCCATCTGGCGCCTTTAGCGAGGCTACTGAGTCCCCGATCATCATCATCACCATCACGTCCCTTCTGTAGCTGATGTATCCCTCTCCAATCTCTGATCCGTTGCCTCTTCCACTCCACCAGTCTATATTGTTCTCAGCTGTGTTCTGCCTCTATGTGAGTGGAAGGTGAAGGTTGAGGTTGAATTTGTTTAAAAATTAAGGTGGTGTGGATAATCACAACTCCAATTAGCAAAATAAGTTTAACATACATATGTAGTGACTTGTAGCGTCACTACTGTGTACACACACGCACACGTGTGACGTCACTATGCGGGGGAGCGTCACTACCACGCGGGTCTACACACACACACATGACGTCATCCTGTCTGGAGGCGGGAATGTCGTCAGAGCCGGTTCAGGGGATCTAGAGGCCGTGTGTGAGGGCCACGTGGGTTGTGTGAGGCCGTGGCACTCTTGAGTGAACCCGGCTGGACACGTGACCGGATCAAGGTGGGGGCCGGGGGCCACGGGGCCACCTTGGGGGCCACGTGGACAGCAAAGGAGCTTCTCGAGAGTTCTCGAAGGTGCGCGTGGCCGGGGTGTGGCCCAGACACGCCGAGGCGCATATAAGCGGCCTCCTCACCGGTTTAGAGGCTGCTTGTGTCAAGAAAGAAGATGCCTCGTGAAGATGCCTCGTGAAGCCTCCAGTCAGCGTGACCAGCTAGTAGCCCTCCTGGCTGGGTCATGCTAGTTGTATCCGAGAGTCAGTGTTAGTGAGTGATGGTGCGTTAGCGAGAATAGGTTGGTGGTCACCACCCTATGTTAAAGTGTTACGTTGAGTTAACAATAAATAGTGTTGCCTCCCAGGAAGTTATGTGTGCGCCTTATTCGAGCCCATTACATTTGGTGGCGGAATTGGCAAACGTTAGGGTAGTCTTACCTTGAGTGAGACGCAATGAGCACATGCTGTAGGAAACCTGCGAGGCACTCCTCGGGAGAGGAGGACGACGATGGAGCTTTCGTCCCGCCGACAGCCCCGGGGATGGCAGCCCCGGAGAACCCCGCCGACGTGGCACCGACGGTGGAGCAGCATGGTGTGGTCCAGCTGGCGAATCCGTCTCCGCCCGACGATCATCGGGCGACGAGCGCCCGCCTCGCGGAGTTGCTGGGCGCCAAGGCGGAGCTAGTCGCCAAGCTCGACGTTGGCCAGCCGTCGACGGAGGAGCCGGGGCCGGGACCACGTGGCGACACCGCTGCCGCGGCTGTGATCCAGCCGCGTGAATCTCCCGCCACGCCGGCGGGCCACGTTGCAGCCATTTTAGTGGAAATGCGCGGCATTTCTCCTCACTCGCCAGCCATACAGCGGGACATCCTTGCGCTGCATCGCCAACGCCCCTTCGTGCGGGCATTTACAGCGGCTGGCAGGGATTGGGAGGCGTTTAAACGCTGTTTCTCCGTGAGCTGCACCTTCGCGGGGTGGATGAATGAGGAAGCGTTGAAGGCGCTCCCCACGTCTCTTGATGATGACGCATTAAGGGCGTTTTGCACCATTCTGCCTGCATGGTGCTCCACACTGGCGTTGGCCTTCAAGGAGATGGCCACCATTTACGACCCGCCGTCTACTATCTGGAACAGATTCGTGGAACAACGGCGGGGGGAAGCCGAATCGCCCCTCGCCTTCAGAAGCGCCCTCTTGTCGCAGGCTCAGGCGGCGTTCCCGAAACTAGGACTGACGGGCGTCAACTCCCTGGTGATGGACCGGTTGTTGGGGCAGGAGCTGAATGTCGCCCTGCCCGCGTCCGAGGATGACGATCCGAAATCCCTCGTTATCACGTGGTGTATCCAGTCCCACCTCAGGTTGAAGAAAGGCTCAGGCCTCATGACCTGTGCTACACCAGCGGGTGAGATGCCCGAAGAGGACGAGTCCGCTCCTGTTTGCGCCGCCGTGACCGGCGCCGGAGGCCAGAGACGAGCTACCGAGCGCCAAGGGAGGCGCGATTGGCCTCCACGTTACCCTTTCCGGCCGGGCTCCACTCGCGGCGTCTGCTACAACTGTGGGCGGCCAGGACACGTCGCTGTGGAGTGCCGGATGCCGCATTGAGGACGTCCTGGGCCGCCGTCCTCGTCTCCTCACCCGCCTTCGACTTCCAAGGGTCCCCAGGTGAGTCGCGGTGCACCACACATTCGGCCCCCGTTCTCACCTCACCCATCTTTCGATCATGTTGATCTGCATACGGTCGTTATTTCTTCACGTCGGGTTGCACCGCGCGGGGGTTCCGCCGCATCGGGTGAGAATTGGGCCTTCGGGCACGCCCAGTGTTCGCAGTTGGCCCATCGATTCGTGGCCGTGGCCATCGGGTCATCTAGAGTCGTGGGTACCATTCAGGGCATTCATGTGCGGATCCTCATTGACACTGGCGCCTCTGCCACCATTATTTCAGAATTATTTTTTTATATTTTGCCGGCCTATTGCCACCTGTTATGTCCCGTCCCCGTTCCCTATTTTGCGGCTAATGG